TGCATTTATTTTCTTCATTTTTTTTTCTTTAAATGTATTTGCATTTTAATAGGTGTAAAATTATCTTTTCATTATAAAAGGTGGTGACGGAACAATCAGAGTAACTGGCATTAATTCTGAGCAAGCACAAGGTAACATTATTTATGAATAACTATTTTTTACTATCAAATTTCTGTTCATTTTTAATGTCAATTAGTATTATTTGCTTCATTAATTTGTTTCCATTTCTGGCTATAAAATGTAAAGATTCTTAACACTTCAAAAATTTAGTGGTGTTGGTAGTTTTCACTTAGGGTCACTGCAGTAAACCACATTGAATTTACACAGCACAGTTCAATCACAGAATCGTTCCGGCAAATTCAATAGTTTGTGTGATGGTATATCATATATAGTTAACCAATTTAAATTCGAAAAGACTGATTCTTCTGATTATTAACTGAATAAACTCGCGATATTGAAAGATGTGATGCAGATGTCAGATGGTAAACTTGAAGAGCCCGTTTTTCTAAACTAAGTTTTTAAACCCTTAATGTTTCTGCGGGGATAACGACTTGAAGCTATGGTACGACAGGCTTTTAGGTGAGACACTCACATTAATTTTCCCATAGACTTACATTATAAGAAATGGTCCCTTATCCTACCTTTAAATTAAGTTTTCATGCTAAAGAGGTAATTTTTCTAGAATGAAATGAAATGACTGAACTGTGCTGTGTAAATTCAATGTGGTTTACTGCAGTGACCCTAAGTGAAAACTACCAATTAGTTTTCATACTTAAAAATATCCCTTTTTCAGCCAATCACCTCATGTCCAATTGAATCTTAGGTTTTCCCTGTACTTTTTCAGCCAATCACTGGCCATGTTACAATGCAAGAGCCTTAACTGTATTCGTGAAATTTAACCAGACCTTTAGAACCGACTGCTCAATTACCGAAATCTCTAAATTGACAACTCAAATCAAAGCAGAAAACATATATAATCAGAAATGAATAAGAAGTGAAAATGTTTCAAGGAAACAATTTATTAAAGATATTTTGATATTGAAATTGTGTTTGCATCAGATGTAAAAATATATTTCATAACGTGGCGTAGACACACACAGCCAATCTAACCCCATACTAGACAGGAACAAGGTTACAAAGTTATGAATAACTTTCTTTATACTTTTTCTTCTGCGCTAATTGTTTTTTTCAAGTCACATCGACATTATAAAGATCATATGACGACATTCCAATTTAACTGGCTAAATATGTACCATTGAGGAAGAGTTTAGCTCTAGGGTACTATATATACCCTTTTCAGCAAATACATTTGGGCTTAGATTTACAAGCTGTTGTTTAAATTAAATTATACTTGTATATATTTTGTACTACTTTTCCTCCTTTTTACAGTTTTCTCAATCAACTCTCTGTTATTTTTTTAGAGTCAAGTAGTGTTTTTTTTGTTTTTTTTTTGCTTTTCAATAAGTAAAACTTTTTTAATTAAAAGTTTAAATAGCATGTCAAATACTGAAAACGACAAAAAATGCAATTAATATAGTATTACACAAACGAACTTGATGTTTCTCGTTTTTATTTAAATTACTACTGGATATGTAACTGCTTCCTGGATTCTTAATTTGGCGTTTCTGTTTGGTGGCATTGTATATCTTCTCCACATAACACGATTTTAAATGAACTCTGTCGGAAGGCTTTAAATTAGTGATTTTTATGCGTAATATCTTGCTTGTATGTTTTACTTTATTGTATTATACATGTTCTAATGTAAAAAGGGATTTTTTTGATTAAATAAGTATTTGCGACAACCTAAAATCAGAAATATCTGATTATGATACTTGCTTGTTCAAAAACCAACTCATTTCTTGAACTCAACAAATCTCTTGACATAGTAAAATGTGTTTCCTTAACTTTGCATTCGAATTGTGAGGCAACGACACGAAATGGCAGAAATCAGCCACCATATTTTTATTTTAATAAATCAAATGGCAAATTTTGCAACGGAGAGGTTCTTTTGTAAGAATATCTATAATTTTATCATTATAGTCTTTATTCACTCCTAGATACTGAGAACATGAAGTTAGAGTATGGTGGGTGGTCGTCGTTATTATCATTATTTTTATTTCTTATTTTAATATTTGGTTGTCGGTTGATTCCAGATTCATCAACGACGGGAGTGGTTGCAATACAAATAAATTCGCCCAGTGAAAGTGCGTTCTTAAATTGTTTTCGTTATTTTTAAGGTCTGAATTATCCTTGCATTGTTACGATATATCCGTTTACATAAATTTTCAATAACACACTTATAAGCTCTTTGGAGAAAAATTCTCATCAGAAACACAATTCTTTGACTACCACAAGGCGTTGCTGTATGAAAATTGTGCTGTAATTAGAACGGTTTTGTTGTTGTTGTCCTTTTTAGGAGAGGTTTTCGAACTTTGCACAAACTACTTACATATCTGAATGAGAATTTTGTGTGACTTTGTAAGCATAAAACCAACATTTTTTAAGTATTTTTTGTTAAGTTGTTAATCACCACGTCGTTACCACCCCTTCCTGTTTAAAAATGATATAACTTGGATATTACACTGTTAAATTTTAAGCTTGCATTAATTGTTTTCTATATTTTTATTCTTTTAATGAACAGAATGTATTCATTTTAATAGGTGTAAAAATATCTTTTCATTATTAAAGGTACCGGAGACCAAAACAATGGAAATGAAAATAATCCTGAGCAAACACAAGGTAACTTTTTTATGAATAACTATTTTCCTATCAAATTTCTGTTAATTTTTTTAAAGTCATTTAGTATTTTATTTTGCTTTTCAAAAATTAAGACATGTTTAGTTTCAAAAGTTTTTAAGCATATAAAATACTGAAAACGACAAAAATACATATGATAAAGTAGTACACAAGCGAACTTGATCTTTCTCGGTTTATTAAAATTTCTAATGGATATTTAACTTCTTCCGTGGTTCTTACTCTGGCGTGCTTTTTGGTGGCATTGGATGCCTTCTCCATATAGAAAAGGCGAAAGTCACTATTTCACATGCATGCTGACGAAAGGTTTGGAATTAGTGATTTTTATGTATCATATTTTGCTTGTATGCTTGACTTTATTGCATTGTTCAAAGGGACTTTTGTGCTTTAATAAGTATTTTTAAAAACCCTAAAACCCGATATATCTGAATATGATATTTGCTTGTTCAAAAACAAAATCATCTCTTGAATTCAACAAGTTTCGTGAAATAGTAAAATGTGATTTGAAACTGAAATCATAATTTGAGAATTAAAAAATGTTTAAACTAAAGAGCTTCACACCATTATCGTCTTCGTTTTTTGTAAATATTTGATGCTTGACTAAATACAATAATTAATACAATGTTAAGATAATGGTGAGCCGGCACAAGTAAACCCTGATAATGAGTAGATTATTGGTATGAGAATCATATAAGTTTTCAAAAACAGTTTAGAAGAATTACAATTCAAAAACAAAATCATCTCTTGAATTCAACAAGTTTCGTGAAATAGTAAAATGTGATTTGAAACTGAAATCATAATTTGAGAATTAAAAAATGTTTAAACTAAAGAGCTTCACACCATTATCGTCTTCGTTTTTTGTAAATATTTGATGCTTGACTAAATACAATAATTAATACAATGTTAAGATAATGGTGAGCCGGCACAAGTAAACCCTGATAATGAGTAGATTATTGGTATGAGAATCATATAAGTTTTCAAAACAGTTTAGAAGAATTACAATTCACTTTCATAATTGCATAATTATATATTGAATTGCCAATTGATCTATGCCCCTTTAATGCATTTTTTTCATTACTTTTGTAATACTTTTGTTTACTATATATATCCTTTTCAGCATATACATTTGGACTTAGATTTACAACTTTTCGTTTTAATTAAACATGTTTATATCTTGTACTATTTTACTTTCTTTTTTACAGTTTCCTCAATCAAATTTCATTATTTTTAAATTTAGTTAGTAATTTTTTTACTTTCAATAAGTTAGACATGTTTAATTTCAAATGTTAAATTAGTATATAAAATACTGAAAAAGACAAAAACATAATATGATATAGTAGTACACAAACGAACCTGATATTGCTCGGTTTATTTAAATTTCTGCTGGATATGTTACTGCTTCCGGTATTTTTTACTCTTGTTTTCCTTTTTGGTGGCATTTGATTCATTCTCCACATAAAAACCGAAAAGTCACCTTTCACATGAACAATATCGGTAGCTTTTGAATAAGTGATATTTTTTTGTATCCTGTTTTGCTTGTTTGTTTTACTATTTTGCGATGTACACAGGGAATTTTGTAATTAAATAAGTATTTGTGACAACCTAAAATCCGATATATCTGAATATGATGTATGCTTGATAAAAACCCAACTCATTTCTAGAACTCAACAAGTCTCGTGAAATTGTAAAATTTGATTTGAAATTAAAATCATAATCTTATAATGAAAATATGTTTAAACTAGAGAACTTCGAACAAGTATCGCCTTCCTATTTTGTAAATAATTGATGCTTGATTGATACAATAAATTTGATATGTTTTAGATGATCGTGTAATACCACGAGGGAACAGTGATAATGATCCGAATAGTTGTATTAGAATCATATAAGCTTTCAAAACATTTAAGAAGAATAACAATTCACTGTCATATTGCATAATTACGTATTTATTAATGCCTCTTTAATGCATTGTAATACTTAAGTTTATAATGAGTATTGAGAAATACTTCTTAAAAAAAGAAAAACAACATAAAATCGATATCATTACATAATGTGGTATGTTAGGTAAAATGAAAAAAAAAGCAAACATATAGTATGTATTTCTCGTTAATTTATTTAATCACCTCGTCAATATCACCTCTTCCTCTTTTATAAGCATGACATAACTTGGAGATTACGCTGTTAAATTGTAAGCCTTCATTTATTATTTTTCTATATTTTTGTTCTTTAAATGTATTTCTTACAGTTGATACAGATAAAGCAAGACAAAAAAGGGAACAAGATGAAACACATTTTCGAAGTTGGTTGAAGTTTCATCTTTACAGCGCAATAAAGTTACAGGGCAACTCGTGCTCGATCCATATTGTTTCTTTCATCTTATTTCTTATGCAAGTTATCAAGATAATATTGATTACTTCACAGGTAATAACCAATAAAATCCTAAGTACGTTGGAAATGGCCTAAAGTTGCAATTGATGTCCCGTCAATTCCATTTTTTCCATTTTGATGTTCTCTATAGTTTCTGCATAAGCGGATTCACATGTAATGTAAGTTATGATCCCCCGTTTTAGGATTTGTTAAGACATTATCCTACGTTTTGTTGTGAAAATCACGAAGTGTTTTTGCTCGAAGTCCTTCTTGATAACTAGTTTAATGACAAACCCCCGTCTAAAATATCGAAACTTTGCTATATGTGTGTGTATGTGTGTGTGTCGGATATGTTCTTATCATCTTGATGTTATTCTCTTGCAGTTGTTTAGTTTTGGTAAGGATCATGGAAACTTTAGTGACGTGGTCAACCGTGGTCATTTAACGTTGAGGCATTTGCTTCTTAAAGACTGGGATGCCTGTAAGTATGATATTATAATTGGATCTTTATTTCTAATGGAAAAACTACATTGTATGCAAAAAAATTCTATTGGAAAAGTATTGTGCGATGGACTTGTACAGTTGGATTTTTAATACATATAATTGAGTAATTTACAGTATTAAAATATATAAAATGCAGATAGTGCTTTGGTAGATTTGATGGTTGAATAACACTGTACTTCGAAAGACTGGTAATGATTTTCTCTCAAGTTTAAAAAAATGTTCGTTAAAATTAGCATCTTTCCTTTTTTTCAATAACTGATAACTATTATAACGCCACAGCGACCACTGTTTATAGAAATGTATGATACATTGTGCTTGCCAGAGAAATGTTTCTGGCAAGTAGACTATCGTAGCATAGGCTTTAGTCTGCATTCTCAATACAAAAAAGGTCTACGTAGTTTTGTATAAATACATCATTTATATGCATTGAGAAGGCGGATCGGAGCCTATGCTAGGTGGGCCATCTGATACTTTAAATATTAATTTAGTGCAAAGTGTATATTTCCTTTCTTTCACAAAACCTTTAAGCATGGGAAACATTGGCGTATCCACCACATAAAGGTGACTTTGCTGTTTACACTATAGACGATTTAGAAAACGGCATCAACTTTGCAGTTAAAGGGGTAATAACGTAGTACATTTCGACATATTAAGCCACTTACCTAAACGTTTTTGTTTTGCATGTTTTTTATCTTTAAGGAAAAAGAATATCAAGTGATTTGATTATTTTGCAAAGGTAGCTTTCTATTTCATGTATCTAGCTAATATATTTTCTAATTTAAGAAAATCTAGACCAATTCTTATGTATTTATGATTAAAAATAAAAATACAAACTTTGTAGCTTTGATCACTAACATTTGTAGACATAAATGTGTGTATGATTAATTTATTTTACAGTATTACAACGCAAAGAGGGATGCGATAGGTTTTTTCCAGCGCACAACTGATGACACAATGGTTATACAAGTGAAATACTTTGATTTCCCTGGTTTCAATGACACCAATGTGACACAAGGTCTTATAATTCAAGGTAAAATAGACATTTATTTCTTTTGTTCTTTATGTTTAACTATATTTGTAATTTCACGAGTGCAAGCTTAAATTAATCGAATATTTTATATCAACCACATTCGGGTACTGCATGTTATGATATGAGAAAGCGTGGGTTGAGAGAGACCGCGCTAGTGATCTTAACCATTATGTCACTTAAATAAACACACATTTCTATGCCAAAAAACTGAAATTACTTTTCATCAAGATTCGAATCGAACATTCGTGAAAATGATGGTATGGCCACCGTTTTGAGTGTGATTTTGTCTTTTTGCCGACTCTTGTAAGTACAACAATGCATATAATACCGTTTAATTTCTATGTTTGGTAGGCATATGACATTTACATAACTTCTGGTGAAAAATAAGCTGATAAAATGTGATTCAATCCGTTTTTATGAGGTAACGCCGATGTACACGAATAGTGCTTCACTGTAACGCCCGAAAATGTGATTTTTTCATATAAGGTACTGAATTATTACACATGTTTAACGCTTTTCATTGGCGAATAAAATCAAGCTTTTTTGCGACCTAGTCAATGTATTTCCTTCGTTCATATTAAGAAACGTATGATAATTATATTTTGACAAACTTTCAACACAACATTTTGATTGCATATTGTAACTTGATACAATTTGATAAATGTTTCCTGAAATAAATTATTATTTGCAAATATATGTTGCTCACTAATGGTCTTGTTACAAAAATAAGAACAATAAAATTCCTGAACAGAGCCAGGTCACATCCATACAAAATGATGGTCATTGGTAGCTCATTTGTACAAATACACTAAAAATCTAATAGCAATCCCTCAGACTTTGAATGAAATTTACAGATGAGAAAAATGATTACATAATTTTAGTAGATAAAGGGTGACATTTCCCAAAGACAGGTTGAATTTATTTTGGTTACTTTTAGCATCACTTCTCAATGAACATGTATATGGAGAGCTACTAGAAACATTGGCACTTGATGGCAAACAAGTTTTTTTTATCGACTATCTTTTGTGACCGACTACCCGCCGTGATTTATATATTTTTTTAACCTATAACACACGCACTTATCAATTCATTAAAAGTCTACCCACAAAACGTCTTTTTTTTAAAAAAAAATAGATATACACAAGTCATGTATCTACTGTGTATATAAATTTCTAAGATTGCTACAGACAAAATTAGTTCTGTAGAAATAGACATTTAAAGGTATTTCTAGTTTTAGCTTTAGCGGTCCATAAAAGGGGCCGATCATATTAATATGAGCATGATTGGTAAAATACTAGCAACCAATGCTACAGACAAAGTTTGGTGATCATCCATCCATTAGTTCTGTAGAAGTAGAAATTTAAAGGTTTTCTATTTCTAGCCCTAGATACCTCATAAAGGGGCCAAACAAATTAACATGAGCAAACTTGATAAAAGACTACCCAAGAATGCTACAGGCAAAGTTTGGTGATCATCCATCCATCAGTTCTGTAAAAGAAGATGTTTTAAGGTTTTTCTTTTTTTGTAGCTCTGTTGACCCCTAAAATGGGCCAATTGAATTGACATGAGCAAATTTAAGTGTGACTGTCACACGGATGCTACAGACCAAATTTGAAGTAAATCTGCTCAGCAGTTTCAGAGAAGAAGACGATTGTTGACGCATAGCGACGGACGACGGACACCGGAGCACCCCCCTTTGATACTAATAGCTCACCCTGAACCTCCGGTTCTTGTGAGCTAAAATGACGTATTATGGGTAGATTTTTAATGAATTGATAAGTGTGTGTGTGTGTGTGTGCGCGTGCGCGTGCGCGCGCGCGCGCGCGCGCGTGTGTGTGTGTGTGTGTGTGTGTGTGTTATGGATAAAAAATATATAAATCACGGCGGGTAGTCGGTCACAAAGGGTAGTCGATAAAAAAGCTTTTTTTGCCATCAAGTGCCTATGACTGGAAATGTGTTTGTTGCAGATTTTATTTATCCATGCCATGAAGGTCTAAAAGTGGACAAATTCATAAAGAGTGAGAAAAATGAAAATTCCTATAATTTAACAAAAACACTTTCAAAACTACTGTCTGAATAGATATTGAGAAATTGCTATTTAAGATAAACAGTTAAAACCCCGTTGTTTCCTTGCTTTGTACTCACTTCAACAAAGACGTGTTACGAAGCTTTCAGGACCGGGCTTGTTGTCTATATTTTCTACGCAATCAGACTAAAATAAGTTCTTATGAAATAAATCAAAATTTCCTCACAAAATTATATTTGAAAAGTGTTCAAACTCGCCGATTAAAGGCGTTTCATGTGTAATAATTCAGTACCATATATGAAAAAAAATAACATTTTCCGGCGTTACCACGAAGCACTGTTCACGTACATTTGCGTTACCTCTTTAAAACGGTCTGAATCACATTTTATCACCTTATTTTCAATTTTTCTTGTCACCAGAAGTTTAGTTTATGTTATTTGCCTACCAAACATCGAAAGTATACGGCATTTTATGAATTGTTGGACAAAAAAGCACACTCAAAACGGTGTGAAACCATCATTTTCACGAATGATCTTGAAAACTAAGCAATTTAAATGAGGAATAAAGTAAAATGTATTTGCAGTCGTATGCGGGTATTCCTTTTTCAGTTTGGTTAAATAAAGAATGTATTGACCATTTTACTTACCGCGTTCGAAATCCTGCCAGGTATCAGCCATTAATAAGTTAGAGAGCATCCGTAGATGGCACCGATATTCTTGTTTACATTACTTCTCTATCGTACGCTGCTTTATTCACATTTACTTCCTGTGAACTATTTAGAAGAACTGAATGAAAGTATAAATTCCATTAGTCAACTTAAAATTTCAAATTGAAAACTTAAATGATCATTGGCAATTCAAAATTTAGGGCAATTATATATATATATATATATATAAATTTACAGTATGCAAATGAGTTAGTTTACTGAAACTTTCTTAACATGCTCTAAGAAATGGTGAAAACAAGAAAACCTTGCATTTTTACCATGACTGACTATTTTTTAAAGATACTTCTTGTTTCATTTTCCGTTAATAACGCCTAAAAGCATTTAATATTACAGACAAAACATTTTCTGCCGATGTTGGCCTGTCGCTACAAAACGAGACGTACAATTATGATATCATTAAAGAATTAACAGGCAATGGTTTGGAACAACCGATCAAACGGTAATTGTTAACTATGTGTAATTAGCAAACATTTAATGATTACTTAAATTCCCTGTTTGCTGCTGATTATTCTGTAATCATTACAGGGTTTTGCTTCAAAACCAACTACTTATACAACAGTCAATTTTTTCGATTTATTGCCATAAGGTTTTTTCTTTAAAAAATCAAGTCACCTTGATCTTCTTTGGCTTTCCTTTATGCTCTTTGTAATTATCACACCTTGGTCATCTCAAAATGAAATCTATTAGGAATGAATGACATCATTCAAAAATATATTTTGTTTGAGCATTTTTTATCTTTCTTAAAGCAAGTATTTAAATATATAACGATGGTTGCAGGATCATCGCCTTTACAATTAACAATACTAACGGTATGGGGGATAGGGCCATAAAAAGGCGACGTCCCATGAATCTCAACAACCGAGCACATGAATCAACCGGATCACCCTTTAAACCATCAACAACCTCGAAAATACAATTATCTTCCGGCAACAGAAATGCGGCAGCCAAAAATAATGAAATAAACTGATTTTTAAAGAAAGTTTGTTTGATTGATTGATTGTAACATAAATAAACATGTTTTATAACATTTAATATGATTTGTTACTTTCTTTGTAGAATGTTGTCGACTGAATTACGTTTTTCGATACATTCCGTACGGGTGTATGAGAAAGATAGACGAGCACGATGTTTACATGTACAAGGCTGGGTATATATTTATGTATAGCTTGTGCGCTTCTGTGTTATTTGAGAAAAAATATTTCCCATGAGTTTTTTCAGCTTCACGTGTCATGATCATTTATTAATTAAACATTGTCCTGCAGGATCCAAAAATGTATCACCAGCACCTTAATTATATTCCATAATCTACACTTAATGTGTTGGTAAAAACTTGAAAAATATTATGGCAAAACTAAAATAAAGAAGTCTAAAGTTTACAAATGTCACACTGTCACGTTACTTGCTGTTGTAATCAAAAGGGAAGATCCACTTAGAGCAATGAAAGCCAGAATCTCTTATTGAGTCTGTTGAAAGGTATATCATCATCCGAACATTAAACGATACTTTTCGTCTTCTTATTTTTATTCTGTTTTTTACAATGTAAACAAATATGCAAAGAATGATATATCTGGTCAAACTGTATTATATTATTTTATAAACAGGTGACATTTAACGACATGGACTATAATGGACAAGTTATTGTTAATTTGGAAACATTGACGAGAAGAATCTCATGTAAACAACTGAACATTTCTGCACAAGGTAGATTAAAAAAAAAAATTCTGTTCCAATAAGACACCGGATTTTGCTGTGAAATGGACTATTTTATATATGTTAAATGAATTCACATGCATGTTTACTTATCTTACTATTTGTTCCTCTTAATTTCCTAAATGTGACATTTCCGGCTAATAATTACTATCTGTGCAGGAGTAAAAGTTAAACAAGAGCCACCGCTAGCGGGTACCATGTTTGACTTTTGTATTTTCTTATCGCAGATCAGGATATACAATGGTGTTCAAAATCCGGCACTGATCTTCCTTGCAAAGCATACAAAACAAAGTATTTGTCAAAACAATGTAAAAGGGAGAACAATTCTTTGCAAACTCGATATTTGTTTCTTCTAATTTCTTTAAAAATACAAATGTTGCGATAATGTTACCCGCAAAATAAATGTCCACATGGAAATTTCCATTGCATTTTTAGTGTCTGTAAACCTATAAGCACAGGGGTGAAACATAAAGTATAGGCGACAACAGTTATTTATTCCGCGTAGGCTGCAACAGGTCTCGTATGTAAGAAAAATGTATATGATAAAGAATTACCTGAAAAACACATGTGAAGCGAGGTGTTTTAGGCCGCCATGTTGTCAGTACGCGTTACCATTAAAGTCGCGTGATTCCGTACCGCGTGAAGAGAACGACTTAAAGGACAATAAACTCTTGTACCTTAACATGTATTTTCAACAATGAAATTGATAGATTTATGTAATACAGTATATAAATGTTCTTTAATGCAAATATTAAGCAAGAATGTTTCACTTTTTCTTCAAGCATCATGTAACTTTTCTATTAATATCTTTAATTTTAATTTTATGAAATGATATTACATTATTAGAACATAAATACACCTTAATAGTAATGTACTTGTACTAACTGGTAAGATATAAAAACAATCCGTTTTTACTGTATTTTGAGATTCAGAGCAGTATAACGGAAGTTGAAGTATGTACATTAAGATTCTACGGTTAGCTGAAGCTATATTTAGACTATAAGAATTCTGATATTCATTCTCCTCATTGCTTGAATATAACTTTTAAAGATGTTATTGCTCTACTAACAGCTGCTCTACAGAGGTATTGTTTAACTGACAAAAAATGCTGTAAATATGGTTTTTATTTGTTTTAACTACCTATAGGTGTATTTTATTTTGTAGCAAATATCGAAGCAGCCTGCTTCTGTTTAATTGATAATAATATTGTTTGTTTATGTTAAAAACGTAAAATAAAAGTACTACTTTAGTTGTTATCTAAAATCTTTGTAAAGAATAAATGCCGGGTGATATCTTGGACAGAAAGTTTTTGCTTTTCTTACAAAAGCAACACAACTATGACTAATTATCTTCTGTGGTACCTGTCTGTTGATATCATTGCTTTCTTGTGAATTTAATTATATAAAAGGGTCAAATTCGATATCCTGCAACAAGAGTGATAGTATATCAAGATAACCTTACACAGGAAAATACTTAGATATACAGTACGGCGCAGAGCAAAGGTTCAGAAAATACCACAGTTTGCAGCCCTTTTTTTTTTCTATTTCCGAGGGAAAAAAAAAAAAAATTTTAGGGTCTTTTCGTCTTTTAAAGCCTATTTAAAAAGAATTGCCCCAAAGGGTTGTTTTTTTCCAATTTAAAGACAAACCCTTAGTTTTTTTAGTTTTTTGGAAAAAAAGGACAATACCATGACTTTAACAATAGATCGATTTTTTCTTCCGTCGAGTTAAATACTTCATTTAGATATATTCCCGTTTTTCACATTTTTTGCTACGAAGCAAAGACTTATCCGAAAATTCGATAACTTTTACATACTCGAGTTCAATTGGCAGTTCAGTATAATATCTGCAGATAAACACCCAGGAGGAAAATATTTTGGTTGTTTCTGAGGGTTGATGTTCCTAAAAGTTAAAATTATTGTAATTATTATGTTAAGTCGTACTTCAGAATCGATACCGTTGTATTAAATTAATGTACATTATTTTCTTAAAGGTATTTAAGGCATATCCCTATAATGTTTTATGATTTATTTACAGATTGGGCTTTGGAAAACACATCGAAACCACTGGGAGAAGTTCTTGTTTTTTTCTGTTTACTGTCCACGGTTGCGTCCACGTTGATTATAATATTGACTGTGTATCTTTGTTGGGTAAGATGTAAAGATTATTTGACTTTCAACAATCAGTTACACTTTAAGTGAAAATCAATGTCATTTTTCAAAAAAAAAAAAAAAAAAAAAAAAAAAAAAAAAAACCAAAAAACAAACAAAAAACAACAACAAAATAACAAATAAAAAAAACAAAAACATATAATTATAACAATGCATTATTTCTGTCTATCTCGTGTTCTATTACATATAATATATTCATACTCAAATGACAACTTACTTGGTCTTGTAGTGGCGGATGGTCTCAGGTGCCCCTTTGTGCATTGTTTAAGGCAAAGGTAGGCAACCGAGTAGAACGACCAACCTTAGGGAAAAAAAAATCTGTGTTTAGGGGAACAGGTTGAATTGAAAAAAGCTAGGTAGGGTAGGTACCAAGTTTTTTTTATCCCATAGAGAAATCGCGAATGTTGCGGTTGAAATGTTACTGCTATTTTACACCATATCTAATGCTTTAGTTCATAAACCATTGTGCTCAACTGTTTTTCTCATTATGTGCTAAAAGAAATAAATTTAAGTCAAGGTCACATATGATAGAGTTTTACACGGATGCCGACAACCTGGCTTTAACAATATTTTAAAAAATAAATTGCCAGAATTGTCCACCATAATTATGTTATTATGGAGCTGCCGACTGGATCAATATGTGTGTACTTATTAATATTTTCAATAAAAAACACCTGCTTTTGACGATTAAGATCGCCACCATCCCTTCCTGATGACATCTCATGGTGAATAATAGTTTGTTTAAACTTTTGTCTCCATCTTAGTTTCAGTCTTTAGTTCTTTTTTTATCAGTCTATGCGAAATTCTTTTCTTTTCAGGCCACAGGGACCGGCACCTTTAGGTTTATTTTAGACCCAGGTGATTTTTAGGCCCAAACATTTCAAGTATAATTATATTATAACAACACTGGCGAATGTAAAAAAATCTGCCTTTCTTAGTGTGATTTCCCAAGCCAGAAATAGTGGGAGTCCAAAACCAAGTTAAATATGTCAAGCTGCCTTCCCTGCATTTATGTAGTTGATGAATTTGATGAAAAAGCAGAGTAAAAAGGGGTGTCACTGGCTGAAAAAATGCTTATTTTGAAAAAATGTTATATGTTCCAAATGAAAAACATTGTTTTGTTAACAGATGACTGAAAATATTTGAAATATAATTTCTAAAATCCCGTATCATTAGACCATTATATACTATTTTCTTCCTGATTAACTACACCCCCAATCCCTTAAGGAAATATTCATTGTACAACACATACTAGCAAATTCTCAATCTAAACTAATGTAAACAATACGTTAAGTAATTTTGATTAATAAACTACCTTTAAAATGCTATTGGACACATTTTAACAAAAAAAAGAAATCCTGCAGAAACACTCGCAATTCTAGTTGTTGATTTTGATAATATCAAATTAAATATTTATTATTATTTTTAGATTGTTATTCATCCGCTATTTCAACAGGCATTGTAAAACAAAATTTTTGAATTTGTAATTAACGGAAAAATTTACCGATATTGATGTAACTTTTTGAACACAAAATTACTGCTGTTTACTTGACTTGTCAAAAATAAGTCTAATGTGGGTCAATTTTTCTTAATTAAGTACTTTAACAAATTTCGTTTTTACTGTCAAATAGGTCATGGATATTTTTAGCTCTTTGAAATTTTATTCGGACACTTGAAATAAAAAACTCGAGGGTCGGCGACTTTTACAAGGTAGGGTCGGGTTCCCCGAAACACAGGTATTTTTTAGGCCTTAGTAAGAAACCTAAGTTCACGTGTGCGATTTGAAGCCACAACCATCAAGGGATATGTGATTTGAATTTTGCTTCATATTTAACTTTAATCATATATAATTGTTAATATGTTTTGCAAGAATTAAAACTTTCTCTGTCCATTATTTTAACAGAAAACTAAAGGTTACTTTAACCCACCAGAATCAACTAAAGAAGATTTGCCAGTGACGCAGTATTTGAGGTTGGTCAATTTCTGGGAAATACCAGTGATCATATCAGATATCCTTACTCTGTATGGAACCATTTGGATAGTTTTTGAAAATGAGGTAAGCTTTGGAATATAAATAATTATTAGTAAAATACGGACATCATAAAACAAAGTTTCCGTGGATCACCGTATGTAAACATATACGGATTTGCATACTATACAACGGCCATCTATGTATTTTGAATTTCCAGTATTTTTACCTGAACTCAGTAAACAGTAATCCTTCTTATATCCATATATTTTTGCAGTGTAAAGTCTACCAAAAATTGAGCAAACAAAAAACGTTGTACCATCGCCCATGCACCAAAATATTATTTCTTAGTCATCTGATGAATATTCATAAAGGCATAGCTTTTGATATTATGCAAATTAAGCAATTGTACTGACGTTAAACCCTGACGTTGGGTAAATGTTTGTAGGAGGTTGGATTTGAAAGTGTTAAGACGTCAGAAACCGACGTCTATATTACGCCATGAAATGACCTTTTTCCAACCTTTTTTTGCTATAAACCGACCTTTTCTGACCATTATCTGACCATAACCCAACCTTTTCTGACCATTATCAACAGTTTTACAACCTCTTCCTGACCAAGGTTTAACCTCATTCCAAACTTTTTTGAATTTATATTTTTTCATTTTAAAGTCCTTTTTAACCATAACCAAAACATTTTAGTAACGAAACTTCATAGAAATATTTACCACTATGAGAAGCTTTGTCGCGCACAAAAACCAGGTCTCAAGGTCAAAGGTCAAGGTCACACTTAGAAATCATTGCAAAACGCTTGTCTGGAGCAAGACTTCTACATGCATTGAGGGATTTCAAAATAACTTGGCACAAATGTTCACCACTGTAAGGCGGAGTGTAGCATGCAAAATATAGGTCCCTTTGTCCAAGGTCAAGGTCACACATAGGGGTCAAAGTTCAAATAAAATATAAAAAAGTGTATTCGGACCATTTAGTCATTATTTATTGAGAGGATAAAACACATATTGTCATTATTATGACTACGTGTGTGAAACATGAAGAAGAAGAAGAATCTTTATTTTGCAAATAAACTCTCAAAAGACTCATGTACAAGCATTCATGATATATACGATTACATGTATGCATAAGTAAATAACTAATTACATAGCAAGATGACGTGACTGCAAGTATTTCTTTTCTTTCATTATTATAATGGTTACCATTGATTATATATTTAATTTACAAGTTATTTACTTTTTGAGAGATTCTACATTCAAATATATAATAATAAGAAATACTTCGTGTATGTATTAGGGAGACATTGTCAGCGTCTATTACATAGCATACTAAATTATCTTCCATACACTGGTCTTTGTAGTACATTTACTAATCTAAGCTATATGGTTTTGACTTATTGCAATAGTAATATGGCACAAAGTATTGAAATTATACAAACAAAACAAAACAAATGTTACTTCTGAACTATACTTTGAACACATATAATACTTCAAACTTGATACATGTAATTTAGGTAAAAATATGCAAGGTCAAGGTCACTAAAGATGATAGTCAAGGTCACTAAAGATGATAAAATATAGATTTTGTCCAGTGCATATCTCCTACATGCATGGATGAATTTTAATGAAACTTTATAGAAATAATCACCATTATGACAAGCTGTGTCGTGCACGTAAACCTGGTTTAAAGGTTCAGGATTAAAGGTCAAGGTCGCACTTAGAGGTTATTGAAAAACGCTTGTCCGGAGCAAAACTTCTACAAGCATCGACGGATTTCAAAATAAATTGGCACAAATATCTACCATTGTAAGGCGGAGTGGTGGGTTTAAAAGTTAGATCATTGCGGCAAAGCTCAAGGTCAAATATAGGGGGTTAATTTCGATAAAAATAAGAAAATGTTTATTGGACCATTTATTCATCATTTATTGAAGGGTTAAAAAACAAGTGGTCATTATCATGACTACTTGTGTGAAACAAGTGATTTAGGTTAATATATGCAAGGTCAAGGTCACAAAAGATGATAGTCAAGGTCACTAAAGATGAGAAAATATAGATTTTATCCAGAACATATCTCCTACACGCATGGATGATTTTTATTAAAATGTCATGAAAATGTTCACCACTATGAGAAACTGTGTTGCGCACATAAACCTGGTCGTAGGATTAAAGGTCAAGGTCACAATTAGAGGTCATTTAAAACGCTTGTCCGGAGCGAAACTTCTACATGCATAAAGGGATTTCAACATAACTTGGCACAAATATTTACCATTGTAAGGCAGAGTGTCGTGTGCAAAATTAAGGTCCCTGTGACAAAGGTCAAGGTTACACATATGGGTCAAATTTCAGATAAAAATATGAAAATGTGAATCATTTATTGAGGGATTAAAGCACAAATAGCCATTATCATGACCATTTCTTGGTATATTGTCTACATACTTTGTCACAACAACCCTTGGGACAAAACCTTTTAGTTTACCAGAGTAACCTTGACCTTCATGAATTTTCACTGGTTTTGCTATAATTGACTGCAACTTTGTAATTAATCAATGGATTGTCCTTATACGTTTACAAAACATGATTTTAAGACCATCTTTAGGATTGAACTGATCTTGAACTTGAGCTTTAAATGACCTTTACCGTCAATGTCAAATTTTTAAATTTTAGTAATATTGTCATAATTTTGTTATCTATTTACGGATTTGATTCAAACTTGGACAAGACTTTTTGTCATACAAAGATATTGGTGACCTTGACCTTAAATTCACCTTGACTGTCAATGTCAAATTAATGAAATTCTCTTCTTTTTTGTTATTGGCTATAACTTTCTTATTTATCAATGGATTGGCTTCATATTGGGACACAACATATTTAAGTTCAGGGACTTGATGTATATCAAACTAAAATTTTCCTTGGCTCATATATAACCTTGATCTTGAAGGTCAAATGGTTTTATTCTCTCTGATTATCGCTATGCTTGGCTGTAACTTTGTAATTAATCAAAGAATTATTTTCATACTTAGACCAAAAAAAATTTTTGGACGTTAAACTGACCCTGACCTTAAGCTCTGAATTACCTTGAAAGGATTCATACTTGGACAAAACAACAAGCGTGACTGGACGGACCTAGTAAAGTTTTTAAAATGGATGAACGTTTCCTAGTTTTCTTTTTAAAGATTTGTGTAGCCGCTTTAAAAAAAGTCAATAAAGTTGAGCGTTTCCTCACCCGGCGATGGCTCTTGTTATGAGTCCGGTAAATATTTACGCAGCTTATGTTTTAAATCTAACAGCACGATGAAAATAATTTTTCACTTTTGTTTGCCAAAGTCCGATGCAAAACAAGAACTTAAAAAGAACCGACTAAAGCTGCTGAACTTTGTCCATCTACAGCCCAGGCAGACCGACCCTGGCCCTCTTGAATCGCTTAAATATGATCGACTTTAAACTGGATTGTTTACGATGATGATCAAAAATATGCAATGTTCGGACAAACGGACGAATTGACAGACAGAGGATTAATCATAAGCATCCCTGGTCGTAACCCAAGTTTAACATTTTAAAAGCAAAATTTTTAAACTAAAGACGTAATAACTCTTAAAATAGATTTGCTAGATATTGTGAACATTGTCATACATGATCTGAGTGATGAAAAATAACATTATCTTCAGCCAAAAGAAGATACCATTTATAGTAAAAAAGAAAGAAAATGAAAATGATATGACAATGTTCAATCAAATCCAAATTCAAAATGAAAATGATTATAGACCAATACGCTAGACACATTCAATAAAGGTTTTGATAAGAAACATACATTTGAAATTTGAAGAAAATCCATGAAGAAATGAAAAAGTTATAGAATAAATAAGGAAAATTCAAAGTTTAAGGGGGATTATTCTGGAAAGATGGACGCAAAATTTATAAACATTTTCACATGAGTATGATGTGGGAATTTGAAGTTTGAAGTTATTTTTTTAAGAAATGAAGAAGTTTGAGTAAACAAAATTCAAGACAAAAACGTTCAAGGGGCTTATAATTCTGTAATTAGTCAAGATTTGAGTGATAATAAGGAACATATACTTTAAGTTTGAAGTAGAAACCTTAAGAAAGAAGGAAGTTATAGAAAAGAAACAACATTTTTACATGAATATTTCAAGGACGATAATTCTAATAATACACGTGCTGGAATTATGAACATTGCCACACATGGTGTGGGTTATGATAATAAACAAATATTTGAAGTTTAAAATTAGATGTTTTTTTGAAATAAAGAAGTGATATAAAAAAAATCAACATTTTTCATCAGGGGGGGGGGGGGGGTTGAATTGAAATCTGATAATTTTGGTGCAATAGTTATGAACCTTGTTACATATTATGTGGTTGATAATCTGAAATATATATTTCAAGTTTAAAGTAAATACCTTAATAATGCTATATAAAAACTTAAATCAGAAATATGGACGTGGCTGCCGACGCTAGTTGAGTATGGCAGCTCTCAATATACTACCTATAATCGAGCTTAAAATGATGTGCATAGTCTCCATACTATGTTCGTGAAGTTGGCAGCCTAGCAGCCTAGCAGCCTGAAGTTGGCAGCCTAGCAGCCTGGCATCCTAACAGCCTTACAGCCTAAAGAAAACTAAGAATAGTACAAACATGAAAACAGTTGGAAATAAATTAGTAGCACTTTTTTAGATCATTCCACGCCTTTTTTCAATATCGAGCTGAAGACGAACGGAGGGTAAACCGAAAGTCCCATCCGGTTAAACCGGTGCGAAACTGAAAATACAACATAAAGTACAATATTGACGTAGATTTCCCTCTTACAACTTGTAAAATTACACGGCCGTTCAGATATTTTGACTTTACATTCTGGAGATAATGGCACCTATGAGTCCGAGAAGCCTGCGGAAAAATTTCAGTATGCTTTAAATCAGTTTACTGAAAATGCCATGTATCAGAAACTAGCTTTTGAACATGCCATTTCTCTTCTTAATGTGTGATGAAAGTGATGACGTTCAGTTCAGAAAAAAGTTTGTAAGTTTTGCTAGAGTGAGAACGTCACTATTGATAAGAGTGATGCTGAAACTGTGCAAAAATAATTTAAATCCTACGAGATTGTTGTGTTTAAGGTTGAAGTTTAGTCTGGTCTACTTGAAGGTCTTGTCGCAAGGGTTGTTTTGTCAAAACAGCAATAACTTAAGAAGTTATGATCAAGGTTAAAGTTTTTGGACGGCAATAGGAACGCTGCCATGACTGTAACAATACCTCTAAATTTTCTTTGCAAAAAAGTCGAGCTAAAACAGCTGTGAAGAAAAAAAAAAAGTAATAGAATAGGGAAAAAAGCTGACACCATCAACCACGAATCAGAAATTAGAAAATATACCAATATTCATGAGGAGATTTCCGAGATTGAAATTCACGGCGCAGTATATCGACAATAAAATCAAAGAATGTTGTCCCAATTGTATATCCGCAAAAATTATAACGTCGTCGTATGATATAATTTTGCCATAAGTACTATGTAACTATATTTATATTCTGATTAACTTGAAGCTTGTGGGATGATGCATTGTACCCATATTTAAATGAAGGGACGAAAGCGATGCAAAACACTATAGCGGTGTTACTGAATAATATAATTGCCGAAATATATTTTAAGGTTTTAACACTAAATAAATTATTCACTTTGTAGAATGAAGTATTATATATTTTATATTATGTACAATATTTATGACGATGGTAAAATGCATTGTGTTACTTTATCGTTCGTTACAGGACAGCGAGTGGATTGTTGAAACGCTTGATTTCTATTCTGCCTGCCTTGGTATCGGCTGCCTATTTGCCTGGATAAGCATTCTGCATTTCTTCAAATTTCATAATAAGTTTCATGTAAGTGTTGCAAATTATATGTTTCATTTTACAGTGTTCTGTGAAGCAGTGTCCTTTATCTTAATTCTTATAAAAAGAAACATTTCAGATCGAGCGTGATTGCACTAACATTAACATCATTTCTAGGTATTACGTTAGGATTTTACTGAGAAACAACCTAAAACTCCGAATCCATCCAAAAATTTAATCGAAGCTTGGCTTCCAGCTTTCTACAAAGTTTATCTGTCAGGGCTGGAATCCAAAATTATTTAGCCAATCAAATTTTATCTTACATAGCGTCAAAAAAACCTTCAATTTTCACGCCATTTTTAAAAAGCAGCAAGTATTGCTTTGAGCGCAAAGATATAATGATGATTAAAATGTTGTTTTCATGAGTTCTTTTCAATAAATCATATTTAAAATGACTTTTTATTTAGCGATTTCACCTGTTTTCTCTGTAGTAAGTTTTCGTTTGGTTAATTAACATAAGTGTACACCTGGTTCTGTGCATTTTTTTCTTTTCTTTTTTTCCCGGTCATTTTATCCTTTCCGGTATTTAGATTGGGGGGGGGGAAATTCCGGGATCCGGGACGCCCGGGATCCGGGATAGTATTAGATATTTAGGGAAAGGAATAAACTATATTTATGTAATGAAAGGCGATTAAACGACAACTTTTTATTTTTTATTGTTTGTAATGAATGGTTAATTAATTTAACTTAAGATTTAAATATATTAAGAGCTATTTATTAACAAACTTAAAATGCGGAAATCGCAATACTTGTAATTATATGCCTAATTGCAAAAAAATCAGAGTGTTTGTTAATATAATATTTGGCTAAATTTTATGTTCATGTATTTAAATATTATTTATAGAAAAGATCATAAGATATACTTAACATAATTGATAACATAAAAGATTTTTTCCATCAAAATTGATTTCAAAGTGCTGCAACTTCTTAATGGATTGAGATAGAGTCAAATACTTTTCAGCGTTGGTTACACGTTACCTTATGATCGATCTTGGATCATTTTTAGCCTGTCACAAGTCCAAAATTTTCTTGGCGATGAGGGGGACTACCGCCCCCTTCAAACCCCCAATGCCTAAACCTTAAATATTTGGCATGTGGTATTGCCTTGTTGACCACTTTTAAATTTTGTTCATGTATCTACATCATATCCATTTGTTTAAAATGTTTCACATACCAAGATGAAGTGGACATAATTTTTATTAAAATGCTTAGGGAAAATATGTTTCAGTCTTATTGATATAAACTTCAATGCCTCCAGCTTTAATATTGAATATGTACCAATGCCTTGAGAACTTTTACATGTCAAATGTTAATCATGCCCCATGAATCTAAATTCGCACACACCCAAGAGAGTTCTTCAGTTATATATTCCTGTATAGGTGTCTGTCACTCATTCCAATACTAAATAACATATTACAACTTAACTTCGTATAAAGAGACATCTTTATGAATTCTACCTATCTAACATTTTTGGTCAAGGTCAACAGGCCATATAGTAAATGTGCATAGACATAGGGACTTCATTCTATCTTTTTACATGCATCTTCATATATACTCATATTCCTCTTTGTTAAACTGAGAGAACTGGCTTCCATAACTTTATATGTCACTTTTATTTTGATGTTCGCTGAAGTCTCTTCAGCTAACAGAACTGTCATTTTTACATTTAAACACACCCCTGGAAAAAATTACGAAGTGAGTCGCTCCTAGGTTTTTTAAAAGCTAACCTTGTGTACAATTAGGACATTTTAAACAATGCTAACGTTATGTCAAATGACTAATACAGTTTTTCAATAACTTAAATTACTAGTAATCGGGTTTTGTTGATCTAGGTTGTGTCGACTGTTTCGCGACACCTTTTTTGACATTCATTTTGTTAGGATACGTTGACCATGTTGCTACGTGTATAGTATTATTCCAGTTCATAACACAAATTCAGTAATGTCAAACAAAAGTTTATCCATTCTCCAAATCACGTGTTATGACCTCACTTTAGATATATTCTGATTTCAGTTATTGTTCAGGACGTTTTATCGAGCTTTTTGGGGCGTGTTTGCGTATCTTATATGTGTAACTGCCTTGTTCATAGGATTCTGGATGTGTGGATTTGTTGTTCTTGGCCCCTATCATGTCAAAGTATGTGTGATGATTAAAATACATTTATCGTTTTCTTAAAGAGAGATTTTGATGTCATTTTATATATACAAAAGATGCAGTTTATTCATGCATATCATGTAATATATAACAATGCCTCTAACGTTACAAAATAAATTATTAAACTAATTTCATCTAATTAAAAGTTTGTGGAGCTTTTGTCATAACAAAGTTTTACAATTTTTTTTTTGATAGTACATAAAAATTCAACGGAAATGTTGCTGTTCCTATTACTTTGCTACTATTTTTGTTGTTGTTGTTGTTGTTGTTGTTGTTGTTATTATTAAGGAGGTTATTGTTGATACTGCTGCTGCTGCTTCTGCTGCTCACTCTCTTTACATTTCCAGGACATGAAAAGCTTATGATAATTTTTTTATTTTTTCTCCTAGTTCAGGACAGCGCAGGCCGCTGCAGAAACATTATTTTCCATGTTTAATGGCGATGAAATCTATGCCACATTTGCCAATTTGGAAACACACAAAATTGGCGGGAAATGGATTTGGTTGTTTTCGAGATTTTACATTGGCACTTACATTGTAACCTTCACAATCGTTGTCGTCAACCTGCTTATTGCCATCTTCATTAGCGCGTATGAATCCATCACGGTAAAGTTGTTGTTGTTTGTATTTTGTTTTTGCTTTTTTGTGCGTGTGTGTGTGTGGGGGGTAAGTAATTATGATTGGTGAATATTTTTATTTCGAAAAAAACTTTTGTAGTATATAGCGTCTGTTTCTAGCTCGTGTAGCGCATGCAAGTTATTGTCATGTATTCTAAATATTAATGAGATGACAAATTCTTTGCCACTCAACTCTTGTTTTTTTATATAAGGTTTTGTCCAAGCACATAACAATCCTCATTTCTTTGGTTTAGCTAATTGTTTTCAAGCCTACCAAAATATATAAAAGATACAGTATGTTATACATTTTAGTGAAATTTCTACTATATTCACCGTTGGTACGATCAAGTTTTTTTCTGTTTCAGAAGAACTATGAGGTGAGCCGGAATGAACCAGACTTAGGACAGATGAAGAAAGCGCTGCAGGAGTATCTTAATAAGCATTCAGAGGAAGAAAATGTGATACGTTCCTCGATTCTAACCTTGGTTAAAACAGATTCTGATACGGAAGCAGTTAAGTGTCTGCGCGACCAGATGCTGAAGTTAGTGAACGTGTCAGGCGACAACAAGATAACCGTGATAGAACCAAAGACACTACCACCAAGGACACTACGAGCGTTTATGAACGAAAAAGAAGATTCATCTGCAGTCATAAATTGTTGCGGTTTCGAGCCTTCATTCCTTTGGAAAAAGGAATTTGGAAAATGATCACTTAATCCATAACTATTTAATGCTCGGCCAATTATGTCATACAAAGGTTATTGACAAAATATAGAATTCATTCACATTAAGATCGGTGTTTAAATTGTACAAAGGCCGTCTGAAATCAGTGTGACTTCATGTTTACATGGGAGAACTGAATATAAGAATAAATTTCATTGGTCATTTTTAATTTACTAACTGAATCTGGGAATCTCATTGACTATTATTTAATTAAATGTAAAGGATAGTTCTTGCCATTATGAAAAAATGAAAACGATAGTTCTAAAATTAAATGTACATGGTCATTTTTAAACTTTCTAGTTAAATTGAAAAAAGATATTTAGGTTCTATTTAAGCATACTTCCTCCCACAAAACATTTTACACTGTGTTTACATCTCATTAAATTTTCTAATGAACATTTTATTTTACATAATAACTTACTAAGTTTAATTCAATTGGCAATACAATAACTGAGTTTAAAATTTTGTCAAAAATAACGAAACCACCAGTATCGTTCAAGATCATGCACATGAAAATGTAGAAAAACACACCGGAAAATTTGAACTTTTCAGAGCTCAGTTTATTATGTTAAATAAGACTTAGTGTATGTCCAATATATCAAATGATCATTGATGTGTTCAATTGGTATAATGTTTATAATTATGATATATTTTTGCATATTAATCAAGTTTTTTCCGGTCTGTTTTAAACACTGAATATAAAGAGAGTTTTCATTTGTCATTTTAAAATTACAAAATGAAATCTGGGAATCTCATATTGGCCATTCTCGTATAATAAAATGTAAAGGATAGTTCTTTAAAATAGAATGTAAAAATAGTTCTTCTCATTCTAAGATAGTTCTAAACTGATACGTTAAAGATAGTTCTTGGCATTATGAAATAAAATGTAAAGAAGAATTCTAAAATAAACTGTACAGAATAAGTCTTTTACTTTTTAGTTAAATTACTCAAATATCTAAGTTCTGTTTCACAATTTTTCTTGCATTCAGAGCTCATTTTATTTTCTAGAGAACAGTTTATTTTATGTAAGACCCCACACATTCAAACAATTTATGTGGTGGGTGGGGTTATGACCACTTTTAGGTCTATCTTCAGTAATCATAATTTTGTTTGTTTGTTAAACCATGTTCGGTTATCAAAGTGAATACAGTGTTATGGCATTCAGTCGGAATAAAAACTCAGAACATATCGTCTGTTTAAGAATGACATTAATTGTGAATATTACGTAACTATGAATTTTAGTAAGAATGAACGTTTGAATTTATGTCAGTTTAGAACGAGTATATTGCCAATTAGAATTGAAACTGGAAAATATGTCGAGAGCAACCAGACCTGAGACTATGTAGACTTTGTTCCTCGAACTTAGTAGAAGATGAAAAACATTTTTTATTTCAATGTGAATTGTTCACTAACGTACGGCATAATAAGTTCAGAGATTTATTTATTGATAATGACCAAAAATGAATTTCAACCAAAGACTTGAATATTTGATATCAAGTCATCCATGAAAACTTGCAAATTCCTTGTATTTTTATGAAAGTAATGTATTGTTTGATTTTATTAACCTGTCAATTGCATACATATTATATAATGCACACTATAGTATTAATCTTATATTAAATGTTCGGCAAATTTCGTGAGATGTACGTAGTGATTCAATTTGTTTCTTTGAAATATTTATTCTGATCGTTATAGCACAATATGGTAAACTGCCGGTTTATATTTTCTAAATGTCATATGCGTAGTAAGATCTAGACCGCGCATGTCCATGTTTTTTACTCTTATTTATAACAATTTTCAACATTATTGAAGCTTTGATTTTATTATGTTGTTCATTTTATTTTTTAATGTTTTGCAATATTTTGGTTAAGAATATACTCTTTTAAAATAACATGGTTTAAGAATTAATATTCAAAATTCATTCGGATGAAAATCAATAAAATATCATTTTTTCAGTGCCGTAAAATACAATAATCTGTGTTTCTAAGTTGCTCTATAAACAACTTTGAAAGCACTTTACTTTTTTCAATACAATATACTTCAAAAATAAAGAGAGACAATATCTAAAAACAATGACAAAAGTAGGGATCGAACCACAGACTTCTCATATATTAGGTAATAAATTAACTGACTGCGCTATTTAGAATGTGACGAGTGCACATACATAACGCTAGTGTGACTTTTCCAAACATTAGCTATATACTTGATTAATTCTTGTAAACTATACGGACAGAACCGAAGTGGAATTTGATATCTAAATAAGTTCTATAATGTATTCATAATTGACTGGTCATTATAATCAGACTATAAATATCCATATACATGTCTTATATTTGTTTTGTGACTCATTATTGACATTGTTACGTAATTTTTATTTAGGAAGAGATGTTACATTGTAACAATTGCTTAAGTTTAATATAGTAATCATGTGTTTAAACATTGGTCAAATAACGTTTCTCTTTTTTTCGTTCAAGTCATTTCATTACTTATTTTTACGCTCATCTTACGTTTTCCCCATCAATTTGGTCCGTGATAAATGTATTTCTCATACGCAAATATTAACAAACTTTGTGTTATTCTTTAACTTTAAACTGATAAAAATATCTACAAAGAGCTATTAATTGATATAACTGTACAGTTCAGTTTACTGATTCTCTGTAGTATGTACATGTACTACATATTTCTCCTATTTGTGTAAAAAAATGACTGCATTCTTCAGTCTTATTGACATATACGCCCAATGGGTTGGATCTTTCCCTGTTCTTAAAGTTATGTTATTGTTATATAGTCAAGCACAGTCATGTCAGATATAATACGTAACCCGAATAAACAAACAAATGGCAGATATAATAAACAATATATTATCATTAAACAAGCAAAATATTAACAATGTAAATAATTACAGTATATTATTGTTATAGTATGAACATCATAGATATTTCATAAATATTTACACACATCAATATTATGTATCTATCCTTTTTTTACACACATGTAATAATAATATTGATTGATTTGTAAAAACGTCAAGATCAATATCATGATATTTCATCGATCAATATATTATATAATCGATCAAATTAATATCGTATCATTGAATTTTATAAAATAGGTATAAGATAGAAAAATTCTTTCAGCTACCACATTTAAGGAAACAAAACAGCTGAACATGTCAAGTAACTGATTGTGTGCAAAACTTCATATAGTTTTCAATTTTAAGCCGAAAAACACTGTACTTAAATATTTGTGTATTTATGAGTAAATATCCAGAACCTACTTTGTTCTTACTTTGAATGTATCAATATATATCTTTCTTTTTTCTATCGTTAGCTATCCGTGTATACATGTCTTTGTCTACTTTGTTGTGGATGGCTCATTTAACTTTCGTTTCCACGCAATTTTATCGGGAAAAAATATCCTGGAGTCAAGATCTTGTCCAAGAGCCCTGGTTAACATATCATACTGTGTTACTTCAAAACAATTATCATTAAGTATTTCTGCATTTGCAATATTAAGGTGACAGGGGTCAAATATGGCTAAAATCTATTTGGCACAGTATTAGGCTTGCGGTTAAAATATATTGGTGTTTGATTATAAGTCTTTCATACTTCTATTTCATATATTTGTATGTTTATATTTTTCAAATTAAAATTCTGCTTTTATTAAAATTAAGTATTTTCTAACTTGTTTAAACGTTTCCTCACCTTAACCAAGATAAAAGAAGTTTATTTTCAGTTATATGTGTAGTTCTATATGAAATAAATGTATAAGAAAATGTTTTGTGTGTCTGTTATTGAATGCCGTACATTGCTACATAGATCACTTTAGAATAATCATGTGCGATTATTCTTAAGCAAACTAATTAACCTTTACTAGCATAACAGAATGGCTCAGTTTTTATTCCTCATAGTTATACTATTATCCTTAAACTGCTAAACATTTTGGGTAAACTTGGTCAATGCAGATCAAGGTCAGACTACATTTCCATTTAGTCTTATCTCAATCTGCACTGTTCATTAGTAAGCAACACTATTTTGTCTATATATTTATTTAATTCAATATGGAAGTGAAAAGTCCGAGTCAGTTACAGCCACTAGTTTGTTGTTTATTCAGGTCAAGATGCAGCAAACAATTTTACTAATGAGTGCACAATAGTTGATACTTTTCCTCTAGAAATATATATTGGCGTCGCTATTAATGCTTTCCTTGTACACACCTGTTTCACCTCGAATCTTGCATTGCCCACCATTCAGTCAAATGGGCATACAACCGTTCAACCGTCGACAGCCGTACTAGTATATACCTATCGGTGTAAGAAACACAATCGACGAACGGTAGGTATTTATCTATGTTTAACATATACCAACTGTGTTCGAGTAAATCAATGTTATGGATTCATAGTCAATATCCAAAGGAGCATGGCCTTGTGCAAGTTTTACATTATGTGAATATTGACTGAAAATAACCACACTTTCCGATGTGATGTGGCATATTTTAAAAAAGTCATAAAAACTTTCCTTTTCGCATGATGATAAATCATTTTAACATACGATTCTTAAATGTTAACATATTGTCATTATATTCCAAACCATACCTTCAAAAATGCTTTTTGTTATCTATTGTATCCTCAGTAAAATCCTAACGTAATACCGGCTCGTCCCGGCGAGCCGGCATTAAAAGTAGGTACCATCTAAATGATGGGAGTTTTAGGCTAATTAAGTCTATTCCATTATCTCGAGTAAAGGTACACATAAATTAAGTAAATTTATTGGTATAAAAGTAAACAGTTCAATATTCAAATATTTATTACTATATTTGCAGAATGTTAAGCTAATGACGAGATGTCCGATTTTGTTCAATCTTCTATGCAGTGATCTCCCCTTACAGGATCACAACATTTTCGTCAACAATGTTGACGATATGATTTTTTTTTCAATTTAGATATTTATTTTAAAAAGTAAATACGGTTTTGCAAATGAATTAAGGTGTAAGATGTGAAATAAAATAAACAAGAGCCCGGTTTGAGTCGGGTGATGCTCCTCGAATAGGTTTTGGACACAGGAAAGTACACCTCTTGTAGTTTCAGAGTTATGTCTCTGGAAAAAGTTCAAAGTGCAATAATTCCAAAATTAGGCAAGGTAGAGTTACTGTTCTTTACACTGCACTTCTAATCAATGTGATCTATCAACCTACAAAGTTTCTTGATGATATCTCTTATGATTTCCGAGTTATGTCTCGGACAACTTCAAAAAGTAAAAATAAACAAAGGGCAATAACTCCAGAATTAGGCAAGGCAGAGTTATGATTCGTGTGCACTGCACATCTACCCATTGAGATGTATCTACCTACAAAGTTTCATATTGATATCTCTTATAGTTTTACAGCTATGTCCTGGACAAGATTTTTCTAAAAGGGGAGATAATTCAAAAAATGAGGCTTAACAGAGTTATGGTTCTTTTGCACTGCACCTCTACTCAATGAGATCTATCTACCTACAATGTTTCATCTTGATATCTCTTATAGTTTTAGAGTTATGTTCCGGACAAAGTTCAAAGTGTTAAAATCAGCAAAGGGCAATTACTCCAAAATTAGGACAGAAAGAGTTATTATTCTTATGCACTGCACATTTACCCATTGAGATCTATCTACCTACAAAGTTTAATGTTGATATCTCTTATAGTTTTAGAGTTATGCAAAGAACAAGATTTTTCTATAAGGGGAGATAATTCAAAAACCGGGCAAAATAGAGTTATGGTTCTTTGACACTGCGCTCCCTCTCAATGCCCTCTATCACTGTATGAAGTTTCAACAAATTATCTCCAAGGGTTTTTAAGTTATGCTCTGGACAAGACAACAGACGGACAGACGGACAAAAGCGCCGACAATATGCTCCCCCGAAATTTTTCGGGGAGCATAACAATTTTTCGGAAACATGAATAGTATGCAAATAATTTTTTATATCGCACCGTTTAATTTTAAAATAATGGCCAATATATTTTTTTACTTAAGCGAATTGAAAAAAGATCAATTGCCACATACGGCTGCAAAGACATAACTCTTTATCCCTCATCAAGATTATTTCAACAAAATTGTTTACTTTTCAAGATTATTCGTGAAAATGATGGCTTGACCACCGTTTTGAGAGAGATTTTGACGTTTTGTAGGCTCTTATAAGTACAACGATGCATATTATTCCGTATAATTTCAATTTTCAGTAGGCAAGTGACATAAACCTAACTTCTTTTGAAATAGAAAATTGAAAATAATCTGAAAATATGTGAGTCAAGCCGTTTTTATGAGGTAACGCCGATGAACGTGAATTGTGCTACGC